GTGGAGAGAGACTTTATTAACACGGCGTGCTTCACGAAAACACACATCACAACTATAAACATGTTACTATCCTATACTACCTGATGGTACGTAACGCAGCTGGCTGTGTTATGCATGACTACTTCGTACTGAATTAAAGGTTCAGGATACCAAAAACCTTCTAAACATGTCCCAAAACTTTCAAAGACCTTAGAAAGTGTCAAACATCCAAAAACTTCTTCCCAGAACACTTAAAAACTTCCAAACCACATTCTAACTGATTTACAAACCACACTGAGATTATTTAAAAACTTTAAATGTCTGAAACACAACATTTGGCTCAACACATTTCAAGCTTCCTCCTAAAACACTCAAAAACGTCCTTGAACCCTGCACCACAGGTTTAACTCGCTCTTCCCTCACTGTTGTTCGGGTCCCTGAACGCCCCAGGACCCTTTAAGTTCCGTCAGAACTGGGAGCTATGCTAACGCTAGCCGCTCCTTCCCATTAAACCTAATGGGAAACTGGAGCTAGCAGGCTAATGGCGGCGGTTAAACGGAGTTGGAGGCAGCGCTGGAAACTAACAACCGCACTAACGGACACAAATCAACTTTTCTCCTCCTGAACGGACGTTTCTGCTGCTTCCTGCCGGGAAATGAGAGCAGATGAAGACTGCAGACGGAGGAGGAGGAGGAATGGGAGAGTCGGGAGGAGGTTCGGTGTTTTTCGACTTCTCCTCGCCGTTTCCAGCCGGATCAACGCACCGGGAAGCGCTGTTTTCGGCGGCAGGCTCGCTGTCCGGTCACCGCGGTCCTCTGCTGTCCTCCGCCGGGCTCATGTCCTCCTCTGCTCCGTGTTTTTCTCCTCAGATTCCCCGGCTACTCCTCCTGTCGTCCGGCTACGGAGCTCAGCGGCTAACGGCTAACAGGGAGGGGCTTCCGCGGGAAACGGAAGGGGGAGAAGGGACGGGGGGGGGGCTTTATTGTGCCCTTAATAAACAACAACAGCTTCACATTTACACTGGGAGATGCAGAACAACAACAGGAGGGACAGTCATGGAGGATCCAGCAGGATTAAATCACAGCCATGTTCTCCGGCAGACACACACCTGGAGCAGCCGTGTGGCCCCTGCTGGGGCCCGTGTCTGTAATAACTGTCCTTCAGATCAGCTTAAAGATGAAGGTGAAAATCATTACAGGCGAGTCTGTTACTACATTTCCTATGATTCACCAAGAAAGTCCCTAGTTTTAGTATCGTGGATGGTTGTAAGACTTTTTAAAGAAGCGTTTCAGCCCACCCCAAAAAATGCATCACATGTTGCCTTAGAAACTACATTTCAGTCTAATAAGTCAAACAATTCTACCTGCAACAGTATAGATACTAAACAAAAAATAGTCTTGGTCAAAAACTTTACTTTCTTAACTCAAAATAGTTTTTTCTCTCTATATTCTGAATGCACCTGTTTTCCAGACTTGATAACCACCAGGCCTGATCAGGGAGGAAGCAGGTAAACTGATCACATGACTCCTATCTTATCTCTATTTGGTGGAATTGGTGTTGTTACAACTCTCCCCATGTTACAATCACCCGGTCTCCGCTGTATATATTTTATATGTAATACACACTTTTACTGAGCAGATTTAAGTCATGTGTCACCTGCATGTTGGTAACAACGCCTGTGAATTTCAGCCAATAGGAACAGAGTGTGGGCGGGTCTTATTGTCTCCATCATCAGCAGAAGAAGAGGAGTTTCTGTTGAACCGGTTTCTGACAAGATACCAGAGGAGTCCACATTATGCCAGGTGTCGGGAACAGGTGGGTCTGGGGGGGGGGGGTTAGCTGAAGAGGACAAAGCACAACCACCTGTGCACTCTCTGTTTGGGGGAGTGGCTTAGGAGGGAGGCCTGAAGGGGGGTTATATTTTCCACCTGGTTGGATGGATAAATCTCAGTCTCTTCCTGGTTACCTGCCGCAGCTGTGACACTGTGTCAGTGTTCATGTGTTCATGTTTCAGCAACATGTTCTTTAAACTCTGTTGCTAACTGGGGGGGGGCAGACAGAAACAACAGAGGGCTGTCAGGTGTTGGTGAGAGAGGTGAGCTCCATAGAGAATGAACAGAGAGAGAGAGGGAGTGGTGGCAGGTAGAACAGGTTTTGGGCGAGGCGGTCGAGCGAGCTTCACAAACACAGTGATAAGGAGAGAGAGAGGGCGAAGTAGTTAAAGATCAGAGATTTCCTTCAGTCGGTCATCAAAACAGTTTCCACCAGCAGAGGAGAAAACAGGCCACAGCAGCAGAGGACAAGAAGAAGACGAAGAAACTGGTCAAAACAGCAGAGGACGTTGTGTTTTTCTTCAGGAGGAAGACGAGGAGCCTTCGGTGCCGTGAACAGGTGTCAGGTGAAACTGCGTTTTCTGCTCTAAAGTTACCTGATAGCTGGAAATCCTGCTTCATTCAGGAGGAAGTCTTCATAGAGCTCCTTCTTAATTTAACTCAGTTTAACTCCAGGACCTGGTCTGTAACATTCACCTCAGGGAGGCGCTGCAGAGCTAGAGGGAGGTGAGTCAGAAACCACACTCCTCCTCCCTCCTCCTCCTCCGAGTCAGAACTCAGATCTGAATCTCTCAGAACAAACTTAGAAACCAGAGAGGCGCTGCAGAGCTTCACTCAGAATATTCATCATTTTAAGGTTCCTTCAGTATCACAGTATCCATGCTAACTGCTAACAGCTGATGCTAACAGGAGCTGCTAACAGCTGATGCTAACAGGAGCTGCTAACAGCTGATGCTAACAGGAGCTGCTAACAGCTGATGCAGCTACTTTAATAGTTTGAACCATAGACTGTAGATAAAACGATGCGAACAAGCAGCTGATCAGCTGTGAGGGTCTGGGCGTGAGAGCCTAAGCCCCGCCCCTTCCCGTGGATCACCATGGGACGTTGAGCAAAGAACGTTCTTGCTAGTTGTTCCTGGGAGAATGAACTTGCGATGTGTTGAGCACGCAGAGCGCCGCTGACCATCTGAGACGGTGCTTCGTTGCTCGTGTTGCACAACACCGGCTTTGTTACCAGGCAGGTTTGACCTCACGAGGGTGTTGGTGCATGAAGAAGAATTAATAAAAGCTAATAAAAAGTGCTGTAACCACAACTTTACTGTACACTAACAACGTCATGTCAAATATAAAAATAATAATAATAAAACACTACTTCTGTTTATTTTTTCACAAGACCAGATTTTTCTGTCCATCACAGACGTCTCTTGATTTAAGTTAAAACGTTCCAGCTACAGACTGTTTATAGGAACTGGACGTCGTCATGGTGACGTCACCCGTTGGTTTGTGCAGTTTTGAAGCCTCGAGTTTGGCCAATAGGGCGCCGCCATGTTGAGTTTTTGCAACCAGCGGCACCGGACATGACCATATTTGGACAAGACAGTGAAGCTAACGGCCGTGCGGAGCTAGCTAGCTTGCTTAGCGAGGTGCATCTGTTATTCACGTTAACTGTCATTTTAAGGGCTGATAACTTTGTCTTAAAACTAAACGTACTCAGAAAAATGAGCAGCCGACTCCTGATGAGCTTTTTCAGCACCGCTGGTTAAACATACACAGAGCACGGATACGAGTCGCCTCTAGCCTGATTGACAGGTCGCCATGGTAGCGACTTGCCAATCAGCTTGTAGCCCCGCCCTAAAGCCTCCGCTGCTTCCTGGTCTCTGTTCCTCTAAATGGGACCATAATTTACTAAATGAACATCATGTGTGTTGAAGAAGACTTGAAACTAGCGACTGAGACCAGAAACTCATCAGGAAAGTGTTTACTGAGGGAATAAATCAGCTGACAAGTAGAAACATTTTCTCACAGACTTCTATACAATCACACTTCTTTCTGCAGCCGCTGGAGTCGCCCCCTGCTGGCTGCTGGAGAGGACGCAGGTTTAAGTCGCCCCCTGCTGGCTGTGAGAGGACGCAGGTTTAAGTCGCCCCCTGCTGGCTGTTAGAGAGGACGCAGGTTTAAGTCGCCCCCTGCTGGCTGCTGGAGAGGACGCGGGTTTAAGTCGCCCCCTGCTGGCCGCTTAGAGGAGGTGGGTTTAAGTCGCCCCCTGCTGGCTGTTAGAGAGGCGCAGGTTTAAGTCGCCCCCTGCTGGCTGCTAGAGAGGACGCGGGTTTAAGTCGCCCCCTGCTGGCTGTTAGAGAGGACGCAGGTTTAAGTCGCCCCCTGCTGGCTGCGAGAGGACGCAGGTTTAAGTCGCCCCCTGCTGGCTGTTAGAGAGGACGCAGGTTTAAGTCGCCCCCTGCTGGCTGTTAGAGAGGACGCAGGTTTAAGTCGCCCCCTGGCTGCTAGAGAGGACGCAGGTTTAAGTCGCCCCCTGCTGGCTGTTAGAGAGGACGCAGGTTTAAGTCGCCCCCTGCTGGCTGTTAGAGAGGACGCAGGTTTAAGTCGCCCCCTGCTGGCTGCTAGAGAGGACGCAGGTTTAAGTCGCCCCCTGCTGGCTGTTAGAGAGGACGCAGGTTTAAGTCGCCCCCTGCTGGCTCCTAGAGAGGACGCAGGTTTAAGTCGCCCCCTGCTGGCTGTCTAGAGATGCGGTTTAAGTCGCCCCCTGCTGGCTTTAGAGAGGACGCAGGTTTAAGTCGCCCCCTGCTGGCTGTTAGAGAGGACGCAGGTTTAAGTCGCCCCCTGCTGGCTGTCAGAGGACGCGGTTTAAGTCGCCCCCTGCTGGCTGTTAGAGAGGACGCAGGTTTAAGTCGCCCCCTGCTGGCTGTCAGAGAGGACGCAGGTTTAAGTCGCCCCCTGCTGGCTGTTAGAGAGGACGCAGGTTTAAGTCGCCCCCTGCTGGCTAAGAGACGCAGGTTTAAGTCGCCCCCTGCTGGCTGTCAGAGAGGATGCGGGTTTAAGTCGCCCCCTGCTGGCTGTTAGAGAGGACGCAGGTTTAAGTCGCCCCCTGCTGGCTGTTAGAGAGGACGCAGGTTTAAGTCGCCCCCTGCTGGCTGTTAGAGAGGACGCAGGTTTAAGTCGCCCCTGCTGGCTGTTAGAGAGGACGCAGGTTTAAGTCGCCCCCTGCTGGCTGTTAGAGAGGACGCAGGTTTAAGTCGCCCCCTGCTGGCTGTTAGAGAGGACGCAGGTTTAAGTCGCCCCCTGCTGGCTGTTAGAGAGGACGCAGGTTTAAGTCGCCCCCTGCCGGAACACTTGGGGAATTTGAACTGTTCTTGAACCTGAGCCCAGGAAGGCTCTTATTTTGAAAAACAAACGGTTAGTCACAGAGACGACGATTACACATGATGTTCTCCTCCTCTCCTCCTCCTCCTCTCCCCTCCCTCCTCCTCCACTTCTCCCCCTCCCCCACCTCACTCCTCTCCTCCTCCCCCTCCCTTTCCACTTCCCCTCCTCCTCTTCACTCCTCCTCCCCCTCCTCCTCTCCCCTCCCTCCTCCTCCACTCCTCCCACCTCCCCCACCTCACTCCTCTCCTCCTCCCCTCCTCCTCTCCCCTCCCTTTCCACCTCCCCCACCTCACTCCTCTCCTCCCTCCTCCCCCTCTCCACTCCTCCTCCCCCTCCTCCTCTCCACTCCCTCCTCCTCTCCTCCCTCCTCCTCCTCCCTCCCCCCTCCCCCACCTCCCCCACCTCCCTCCTCTCCTCCCCCTCTGACAGTTAATCACTCTCTCTCTCTTTTCCACAGAGCTCTCTCGCCCTGACTGCCTCGAGTCTTTTGATTGGACGGCTGCCTGATTGACTGATTGATGGTCTTTAGCTCCGCCCTCCCGTGACGCACCGCCATGTCATCAAACATCAAAGTCTCCCTTGACAACCCTTACGGTGAGGTGACCATCCCACGGGCTAAGCTCCGCCCCTCCGATGACGTCTCCACGGTGATAGCCAATCCGGTGGCTCTGAGCAGTGACAACCCGTACGGCACGTCAAGCTCCGCCCCACCGCCGCCATATATGGTAAAGGACGCTAGAGAGGGGGAGGAGGGAGGAGGAGGGGAGGTGCCGCGTCTGCTGCTACCGCTGCAGGAGAAGGAAGTGATGTCACAGCAGGAGGCGGATTGTGATTGGCTCAGATTTATTTATTTCCTGTTTCACTGAGGAGGCAGAGGCCATTTTACGTGTCAAACCAGCCCAATATTTAAATCTGTGGACAAGGTCAAAGTTCGTCGAGTGAAGAAGGCCATGGATCCAGCCGAGAGCTCAGGAGCAGTTTAATATATCAATCACCGTTTCATCATCACGGTAACGAGCTGAGAACAACAGGATCAATCATCTTAATGTATTTTAATTAATAAGTATCAATAAGAATTCATATTTAACGTATCAGTACATGATGGACATTAGTGGCGTTGGCGTTTGGATTTAGAAGAATCCGAAAATGAGGAAACTTTATTTTGTCGTCTTGATCTGATTCTTAGATTTTATCCACGTTTTCCTTCCTCGGAGGAAGTGATGTGATTTCAGGAAGTGTTGGAACGTTTCCGTGAAGTATTATATTTTTGAACAGCTAATTTGAACATTTTAGCCTGACGGAGTTTAATCAGAATGATATCTGGATAAAATGGAGGATAGAAACGTTCAACTGTTCATTTGCTGTAAAGTTTTTCTGTTTCTGCTGAAATAAAGTGACTTGTGATCATCTCTTCCCTGACTATGTCTGATTGTCTTAATGAAAGGATAAATAAAATACTTACTCTAAATACAGAGTGAGACCAGCACCCGACCCGGGTCAGCGTCCAGCAGGTCCGGACTCCAGTTTCCACACAGCAGAGAGAGGAGAGTTCAAGCTCTGAGTGACGGCAGGCTGATTGAATGGATCTGACTCTGACA